GAAGAAGAAGAAGAAGAAGAAGAAGAAGAAGAAGAAGAAGAAAGGAAGAAGAAGAAGAAGAAGAAGAAGAAGAAGAAGAAGAAGAAGAAGAAGAAGATGGCGACTTACCTGTGCGACGGGCGCTGCGGGCCACGGACGGCGACGGGCGACGCGCGACGGGAGGTGGTGGCGACGGCCACGGATGACGAGGAGGACGGCGACGGGGGCTGGCATGGTCGAGGACGAGGAGGACGGCGACGGGGACTGGCACGGTCGACGACGGCGAGGCCACGGGAAACTGGAAGTGGGGGAGGCCGACGGGCAAAGGCGGGAAACGGAGGACGACCGCCTCCCTCCAAACTTCAAAACGGCGGCCTCATCTGGGCCGCCAATCTGTCTCGATCAGCGGTCCGGAGAGGCCGCCGCTTTGGAAACAAAAAGGGAGGCCTGCGCCACCCGGTTCGATTTTTTTTTGGGCCAGGAGGCCCCCACAACCCACGTGGGGGCCTCCTGGCCCAAAAAAAATTCGATTTGGGCCTTCCCCTCCAATGCGCTGTAGGCTGCCGGGGGGGAACCGGACCGGTCGACCGGCCAGTCCCACCAGCCCGGTTCCGGTTGGGGGTGGACCCCCCGGTCGGACCGGGAATTTAGCACTGTTTTTTTTTCGTTTTTTTTTTCCCGTTTCTCCCTCGTCTTTCGAAGGTTGTCTTGGTTTTAAGAAAACAGATTACCGGCTTCACCCGAATAGAACGCCCGGTCATTCTATCTGTATCTGGACTGACAATTGCATCAAATACGGCTATAATGACCTGGGCGTTCTATTCGGGTGAAGACGGTAGTTGCTGGTTTTCGCTTTGTCGACTGACAGGATGTCCACTTCGTGGAACACTAGGCAGCTTGGCAGCCCCCTATCCCAGCTCCAAAATCTTGCCGTATTTGATGCAATTGTCAGTCCAGATACAGATACTAGTTGCTAGAAAACCTGTTCTATTCGGGTTAAGTGTTCGAACTTCGGATCCCTTTCTCGATGTCACAAACCCACTGTTTGTCACCTTGTCGCATCATGGCGGGTTTTCTAACGTCTGTTGCTTTTTCTCTGCTTTGTTTTCCAGAGGTTGTCTTTTACGTTCGAACCGTACTTGCAACGGTAACGTGCGCCGTACCGTGCGGTTCCCGAACTGGACCTGCTCGTGCCCCGGACCCGCAGCAGTTTCCGTTTTCTTTTTTGTTTTTTTGCTGTTTTTGTTTATACAGCAGAGTGCACCACCTAAAGAACATATCTGTTCCAAGTATAGTCGTCCAGATTTGTCTTTCCGTTAAATTGGGCATGAGAAATAGCGTGAAATAGGAGGTGTCGAGGACATCAGTATCGACCTTTAGGTAGCGGCATTACTCTCTTGCCTTTTTTTTTTTTTTTTTTTTTTTTGGGTCCCCCATTCCACAACAAATCTTGAAAGGGGACGCAGGTGACGATTGACCCAGGCATGCGACCCCTATTTTGTTCTGAGTGATTGTTTGCCCTGTTCGCCGCACCGTGCGGGTCCCCGTTCGTGCGCCAAACTTGCAGAATGTTTCCGGCGTGCGCTGGCATGTATGTTTCACCAAAAAAAAAAAAAAAAAAGATTGAAAAGAAGCTATTTGCTACTTTTTCCTGTGCTGGCTGACTGACACGATCGCCGCTTGCATCTGGAACACTAGGCGGCACCCGATCCCGACACCGAAGATGTTGGAACCCCTGGTGAATCTTGCGAATGCCCTCAGCATCGATTTGGACATCAGTTCATCGAAGACACTTGCGGACTCACTTGACAACGCAATCGTAAGTTTGCAGTAATCCATTTGATCCTGTCGGGATTCGATCTCATGACCTGCTTAGCAACAGTTACATGTCTGTAGACTCTGTATCGGTCAGGTACATGGGGCCACGCGTTGAGGTAAGTTGCAGTAGTATGTACGGGTGCTGCTTTTTTTTTTTTTTTTTTTTTTTTTTTGTTGTTTTGTTGGGTGAATGGATGTCATAATTGCCAATGCTGTTTGTTTGTTTTGTTTTGTTTCTTTGTTTGTGCACTAGCTATATTTTTTTTC